ACAGAGATCCACTGGAGCTTTTAAAATCATGTATTATGTTGACTTATAGAACTTAATATATTCATATAAAATTCTTTACATATTCAGGAACCAAGACTCCATTTTGATGTACCTCAAGTGGTGTTGGTTTATTCACACTCCAACCAAAACATAATGTACCATAACAAACATATTGGTAAGTCAGCAATTATCAAGGCAACCACGTAAAATTTCATTACTTAAAAGAAATTAAATGCACCGTGGTTTGTATAGCAATCTTCCTCATCTGTGTCCAACATCAGATCGTTCACATTCCAGTCACAGTTAAATCGAATTTGCTATAATCTTGGTGAGTGGGAGCTAATCACTGAGCCTTCCACTCCAGTTTTGAAGCAGCACATATAACATTTCTGAATAACACTAACAGAGGATGGAGAAAAAGCTTCCTAATAACAGCTGGCATTTGTATGCAGCAGCAAGGTTCTTCTCCGGGTTCCGGTATAATATTTATTGGAATTGTAAATATGTGTATAGTTTAAGAGGCTTATAAGTCATTGGTTATAGCTTGAAATATCCCTGAGTAGATACTGAAATTAAGATAAGTGCCACCACTTCTTGAACACACTGTTCTAAGTTCTTAGCTTGCTTGATTGCACACTAGCCTCACAACTCTTTGAGGAATTATTATGCGTGCATTTTCAGCTAAGGAAATTGAGGCAGAGAAGTGAAATGCTGCCCAAATTTTCATAATGAAAAGCAGAGACAGTACTTACATGAGCTCAAATTCTAGATTTTAATCTCTTAACCTGCTTTACTCTTTCCTATTTGGAGAGCTATTCTATGTGACTGAGTGTTCCTTACACATAGATACTTTAAAATTTTCTACATATTGTCTTTAAATGTGTCATTCTGGTTGGAAATGGAGGAATATGATTCTTGTTTGAAGAATAGTACATCTCCAAAAATTTATGTTCACTTGCAGGTACTGTTATTTGGAATGGTTTACCTGTACAGGTGAGAAGATTTCGAAGGGGATAAATGTGAAAGTCCTCCCAAGCTAATCTTTGGCGCAGCTAAAACAGTACTAGATAATATCATTTTCTTCTTGGTTCCTGGGAGAAGGGATGTGTACTAGAGTATCTGTCCTATTTTACATCCTCAGGCAATCTAAGTATTACAGACCACCGAACTACATTATAAGTATTGTATTCATTCTGATTTTTTGTTTCTGCTCCCATCCAATCCAGTACATGCATGTGACTGTACTGCTACAGAATGACTAAATAATTGTTCAATCAGATGTGGGGAAAAAGATTCATAGTCACTGGCCACAAAACATGCATACAGAGCCACTTTATAACCTACAATATCTCATTCCTCATGATCATGCAGAACTTAGACCTTGGTGTTTCATTACTCCTGTTATAAAACATAGCAGTTCTAGTGCTAATACTACAGAAAATCAGAAATCTACTGTTGTAGATAGTGGAAGTTATTTTGTCTATAGGCAAAATTTTGAAATAGGAAAGAACTGAGCAGCTGTACTCCGTTTCCAGGTTCTTAATCAAAGTTCTAATCTTATACTAAAAGGTGGTGCTAGAATTAGACACCACAGATGTTATCTAAGAAAGGCTTTCCTCACCCTGGTACCAGACATGTCTTTAACCATCAGTGGGCTGTAGAATAACACAGAATTGGCCCAAATCAGCTACGTAGGTGGCCTTGGGTAAACAACTGAATCGCCTGGAATCCCAGTAATCTCTTCTATTAAAACAAAGTGAGATCCCTTAAAGACATCAGGAGAATTAAGTGTAATTCCTTTTTCATTGTGTACATGTAAAATATACAACATAATTTTTTTATTGTTTGAGAAAGGGTCTCACTATGTAGCCCAGGCTGGCCTCAAAGGTGCAGCAATCCTCCTGCCTCAGCCTCCTGAGTATTGCAATTACAAGCATGCACTCCATACCCAGTTCTCCTAATGTTTTGATACATCTATATACAAGGAGGGTGATTACTACAGACAAGAACATTAACATATCCATCCTCTCACAGTTACTTTTTTCATGCGCGGTAGTTCCTAAAACTCTACTTTTGTGTGTGGAGTTGGGTGAAGAAGGTATTGATGCCAGGGCCTCTGGACTGAGCTATATCCCCAGCCCCTATTTTTTACTTTGAAAAAGGGTTTCACTAAGTTATTAAATTGCCCAGGCTGGGGTTAAACTTGCAGTCCTCCTGCCTCAGTCTCCCACAGTGCTGGGATTACAAGTGTGTGCCACTATACTCAGACTAAAATCTACTTTTTAAAAAGCAAATTTCTAGTATGCAGCATTAACTACAGTCCTTATGTTTTAATCTGGTCTCTACTCTACTCTGGCCTCTCACTGTTTTGACACAAGTATAACTTAGTGATATAGGGCCTCCAAATGATAAAAGGAAAATATAACTCCCAACCTGCTAGATGTCCAATACACCAAGTTTGTGTTCTCCAGAATAAAAAAATAAATTCTAAGGAACAACAGAGGTTAAGTGTAGGAAATTTTGACGGAGAGACAGCTCTGGAGAGACAGGAGGAGTCCTGAGTAGGTTTTGGCAGAGCCCATTTTCCACAAAGTTTTATACAGCAAAATTGTGAGGTGGGTGTAGGGTGCCGCTGAAGTTAGAAATTGGTCACAGTGTGGGGGAGAACAAAGAGACCCTGAGGCAATCGAGCTGCTTGGGTCCAGAGAACCACCAAGCCTGAGACAATCCAAGCTATTAGTTGTTGCTAGGCAAGGCTGTGTCAGGCCATACTTTGCCAAATGTATAAATAAACGCCCCTAAGGTGGTTGAGCAGTTTCCTCTCCTCCCAACAGGAGAGAAAGGGCCCCACCTGCCCTCAGCTTCTGTCTCTCACCTTTACTTTTCCCATCCTCTCCCTTCCCCAACACGAAGAGCTTCTCAGGAAGCAGCAGGTGGGTGCAACATGGAACAAAAATTATGATCAACCAATAAGATTACAAGTATAGCCACTTAGGTAATGTTGATCCAGTGGACAAACAAGCCACATAGCAAGTGTCCATGGAAAGAACAAAGACCTTTTTTGGAAGAGATGAGTCAGGAGGTCCTGGCCACCCACATGAGTGACTGATGTCTATCTGGACTTTACTAGACTTTATTGATGTTCTGTAATATTGCTTATCCCTTGGGGAGGCATGTGGGCCTGGTCACTTATCTTTATCTTGAGGACTGGCCTGGCCTTCAATGGATGCGCCTCCAGCCACAACTGTAATGTGTTATCCTCTGCCCTGAAACTCTGGGGGGCCTAGCTGTCTGACTGCCTGCAATATTTCTACCTAACTTAGCTGTCTGTACTATTAGTACTCTTAGGCCTACAGTCAGCCTACAGCTTCCATCCACTCCTTCCCAGTATCCCAGTCATGGTTTTTACTGCCTCTATGTATTCAAAATTTTCTTTCAATTCCACATATAAGTGAAGTATAATTCTTTACATAGACTGAGGAGCATACACACAACACTGTGTTCGTACTTGCTAAATGACTGCCAGTTTGCGAGTAGGCATGAAGCAGTGTGTGGTAAAGGGTCTGTTACTGCGAAGAGCGTAGACTCAGGAGAAGCATTTTGCAGTCTCCCCCCCCCCCCCGGAAACGATAAAAACTTACTTGATTTTTAATGCTAAAAAAATGTTTAGTGCTACTTACCCATAATGAAACACTGGAATGTGCACGTTGTAGACCAAAAAATATCTCATAAAGCGTTATCAAACGTAATGGTTACAATTCCCCCAGATTAAGGGAATTTATGCACATTGTCCAATCAGGTGAAACGTGACTCTCAAAGGAGCCTGAGAAACTGCTCACAGGTACTGAAGACCACAAGTGGGACGGTCACCTAACAGGCTTTGAGGAGGAGTCATAGCTAACTTTGTCGTGGCGAAAAACCCCGTTGGTGAAATACTTCACATACTTTCTAAGTGTAATGCCTTACAGATTCAGGAGCACATACAATTAAAACCGTTTACAACCAACTCTGCTCCGCTTCCCCAGGAGCCGGCAGTTTTTCCTATTAAAAACTGCACTATGCATCTACCTTAAAGGTTCGCGAGCATCTTTAAATAGCAGGTCTTGAGCAAAGAAGACCCGCACGTCGGCCCACGCTTTTTCAGGCGCCCAGTACACGGCCGCCCACGCAAACCAAAAACTCCCCGACGAAACCTACGGTGTCCCATTAGGAAACCGCGGCGCGTCCAGAGGCGACTGGTTCCGCCCACGTAAGAGATGGCGCCGGTCGCGTCAGCCATTCTTGCTGCCCGGTTCCTTCTGTCTGGGGGCGGGGTCTAGACAGGAGGAGGGGTGTGTCGGGGAGCTGTTTTCCCCCCGCCCTTCTTGTTCTCCATTTGTTTCCACAGCGTTTGCCAGAGGTGATCTAGGAAAGATCCGATAAAGACTGGTCAGAAGAAGGCAAACCCCGCGGCGCGAGGCTGGCCGGGCGCTCCCCGCGAGGGCCGGGGCTGTGGGCGGGGCCTGTCCCGGG